AAAAAAAAAAAAAAAAAAAGATTAAATGAATGAGAAGAGAAACTACACAAATGAATTGATGAATTTGGCAAGAAACTACACAGCTGAGAGTAAGTTTCCCACTGATGCACATGCAAATGTATACAGCACCTTCGAAGTATAGAATATGTCTTCTCTCTTCACGGTGCCATCAGAGATCTTCTTCCGGATGCCCTGCCCAATCTCTTCTTCATTTAGGTACAAATAAGCTGAGTCAATATGGCGGTAGCCTGCATCGATTGCTATCTGGATGGCTTCTTTTACCTTGCTCTTAGCAATCTAGAAAAGCATAAACTGGAAGACTTACTTGACTCTGGAAAAGATGACCAATTATCTAAGCAGAGCTATTCAACAAAACCTAATTTTTTTTCTTACACCTAAGTCTAGAGGTAGCAAGATTAGATATTGAGTTATAGCTAGTGGTTAATGTTTAACAACTGATTCTGAAGAAAAGAAATTCTGGTTTGTAGTATTTGTCCAATTTCTATGGTGTAAATACTCGTACCGTGACTAATTTCCAGCCTTTAAAATTTGGAATAGATGTTGACTTGTGTGTCCATATGAGTTGGACCCAGCACATCACTAGTTATAACCCTCTATCAATGTATTCACACTAGTTATGCAATTTATAGATTTACATTTCTAAATTAATTTGCTTTATAAGAGATTATTAAATTCTTTGACCCAGAAATTCAATGCTAATAATTATCTATCAATGCAAAGATGTAACTTTAGACACAATAAATTCGTGATTTTACCTATCTAAACTTGGAAAAACACTGCAAAAAAATTCAAGGACAGACGAATATGAAAAAGAAAATAAATTCTTTTTTTACTTAAAAAAATATCTCATAATTTGTTGTTGTTGTTAAGTTGGCTCTTAGGTGATATGTTCTTGTTCACAACTTTGTTATTTTTTTTTTTTTAGGTGCTTACTATTCTGTTGGTCCACCAGTCTAGATTCTTGTAGTCATTTATAATTTTTCTCTTTTTTAGTCATTCCTTCTACCTCACTCAATAATTAAAATGCCACCTGGATCTGTGTATTTATTTCCAATTCCTGTTGAGTCAATTGAGCTCCAGGAAGATTGACCATCTCCAGGTTAAATTCTGTACAGAATGTCCCTCCCATGTTAAGAATTCGATTCTACAAATTTTCTTGAACAATTATAAGCGTCTTCATTAAGAACCACTAGAGCTGTGCCCTTGCAAGTTGTAGTGTTTGATCCAGAAACTTGCGTGGAGCTTAGTTTTCCAAAGAGAGTAAACGTTTTCAAGTGCCATGTAGCTCTACCAATCCACAGACTTAACAACCTGGCCTCTAAGAGACTGTGTCCATTCCAGACCACTCAAACTCTTTCTAAGCCTGTCTCTCTTTTTCTAAGTCCCTTTGCCACAGAGGGTTTTCTAAATGTTCTGTGATTAGTGGTGGACAGGGAGAATTTGGACATGAACAAATAGAGATCAACTTCTTCACAAGCAAGTTAGCTATAAAGTTTCTAACACTAGGTAGTTACGACAACTAACTTTCATTTATCCAGACATATTGTGTAATGGCTACAACTGGACAGCAGGTGATAGAAACAAAAATAGATATATCTTCCCTTGAATTCTGAAACATGACATGCTTTTATCTCCCTTGATATCATGCCATTCCAAGTGTGATTCTTGGACAAGTAACACTAAGAATCACTTGGTAGCTCATTAGAAATGAGCATTTTAAAGCCTTATCCTAGACCTACTCAAACAGAACCATCTGGGTTAAGCGCTCCAAATCTGTAATTTTAACAAGATCCTCAAGTGTTTATATTGCCTCTAAATTTTGAAAAGCACTGACTTCATGCAAAATGTAACCAACCTATCTTGAAGAGAAGCGTTTTAAAGATGAAGGAAATTAGACCCATCTGAATTTCCCAAATTCTCACAGTGACTGATCCTGGTCAGGAACCATGTCAATTTCCAATACCATGATGGTTACCTTCATAGAAGCAGAGGTACCAAGCCCCAGCACAGGCATGAAGTGTCCATCACTCAGTTTTACAGAAAAGCGTCTGATACAACTCATCTTGTTTAACTCTTCTTAAGAAACAGAAGCTTTCTTCCCTTTTAAGAGAAACCTGTAGTGACAAAAAAAAAATACAATGGCTATTTTTATAATAGCTTAAATGAGATATAATTCACATCAGATCACTGCTTTAAAGTACACAATTCAGTGGTTTTTGGTATTGTTATAGAATTGTCACCATTATACATTTTTAGAAAATTTTCATTGTCTTCAAAAACCCTCATGCTCATGAGAAATAATTCTCCATTCTTCCATTTTTCTACCCCATGGCAACTATTAATCCACTTTCTGTCTGTATGGTTTGGTCTACTCTGGACACTTTTATAAATTGGTTTATACACTATGTGGCCTTTTGTGTCAGTTTTTAACTTATTATTTTTTTGAAGTTCAACAATGCATGTATCAATATTTCATTCTTTTTATGGCCAGATAATGTTTCAATGTATAGATATACCACATTTTATTTGCCCATTTATCAAATGATTAACATTGGGTTTTCTACTTATTGGTTATTATGAGTAAGGCTACTGTGAACCTTCACATATAAGCTATGGTGTGGGCATATGTTTTATTCTTCTTTGGTATTAATCTAAGAGTGAAATTGCTGGGCCATATAGCAAACCAATGCTTAGCCTTATAAGTAACTGCCAAATATTTTTCAAGATGGCTGCATATATTTACATTCCTAACAGCATTTTATGAGTTCATTTTTCTCTGCATCTTCTCCAACTTATTTTCTGTCTTTTTAATTATAGCCATGCTAAAGAGTGTTAAATTGTATCTCATGGTTTTGATTTGTATTTCCCCAATGAGTGAAGATATAGAGTGTATTTCCATGTACTTATTGGTCATTTGTATATCTTTTTTTGTGAAGAAATGTTGATTCATATCCTTTTCCCAGGTTTTTATTGGAGCATTTGTCTTTTCATTATTGTTGAGTGATGTGCGTTATTGATATACTCTAGGTATTGGTGTTTAAACACATATAAAATATGCATTTTTTATTATATGAATGGTCTTTTTACTTTTTTTTTTGAGTTGGAGTCTCACTCTGTCGCCCAGACTGGAGTGCAGTGGCTGCTCCC